TTGCTAATAAGAGATTAGCACAATAGTATTCCATTACATTTATATACCATAACTTTTTCATCCATTCCCTAATTTATAAGCCCCCCTGTCAGATTCTCCCCTTTACTGCCTCAGAATTAGAAATATTTCTCTCCATTTGTAGAGTTTGTTTTGTTCCCTTATTGTACTGTTCCTCAAATTCCTCCTCCTCTTATCCTGTTATTTCCCAGTTGAGTACTATGTACGTCTGTGGCTGATTCTGGGTAGGTGGTTGGCTGGGAGTGTGTGTGTGCATGGTTGCGCACACCATGGGCATTCATTCTTCTTTTGAAAAATTCAGATGAAAGTAAGGGTCAGTGGTTCTATGGTCAGCTACTGCCTCAACCTCATTCTCTTTGTTTTTGTGTGTGTCTTCTTACCCTGATTATGTGAGATAATTTTACCAAAGGTTTCTTTCCCCACTTCCTTCACTCTTAGTGTAATCCTTGTCTCATCTCATTCCATTCTTTTCTTGATGATCTCATAAAGACATAAGAGAATCATTTCCAGGCCTTGTTAAGTTAGATTCTCTCTATGAATCCTCGTAACAATAGTGTTCAGAGGGGACATATGTATCATTTTCCCATATTTGAATGTATGCTGTTTATCATTGTTTACTTCTTTATTGTGGTTCATGTTTATCTCCTTAGTTTCTCTTAAATCATGTGTTTAAATTTCAGGGTTTCTTTGCAGCTTTATTCTTTTTATCAGGAATGCTTTGAAGTCCCTTCTCTTAAATTTCCATTTTTCCTCTCGTGGCATTATACTCACTTTTGCAGGGTAAATTATTCTTCTCTGTAAAGCCCATACCCTTTTTTTTTATTTTTAAAATTTAACATGTGTTTTTAAAACGTTGGTTTATAAATTTTCTCCCTTCCTCCCTCCCCACCCACCCTCATTGAAAAGGCAAGCATCTTGATACAGGTTGTAGATGTGTAGTCATGCAAAACACTTCCATAGTAGTCATGTCATGAAAAACTAAGTATATTTCCCTTCATCCTATCCTACCCCCCGTTTATTCTATTCTCTTTTGACCTTGTCCCTCCTCAGAAGTGTTTGTTTCTGATTACTCCCTCCTGCAGTCTGCCCCCTCCTTTATCATCCCCCCATTCTTTTATCCCCTTCCCCCTATTTTTTTGTAGGGTAAGATAGATTTCCATACCCAATTGAGTGCGTAGGTTATTCCCTCCTTAAGCCAAATCCTATGAGAATAAGATTCACTTATTCCCTCTCACCTTCCCCTACTTCCCCTCCACTGTAAAAGCCTTTTCTTGTCTGTTTCTTGTGAGATAATTTACCCCATTCTACTTCTCCCCTTCTCCTTCTCCCAGTATAATCCTCTCTCATCCCTTAATTTTATTTTCCAGATAACACCCCTTCATCTTCAACTTACCCTGTGCCCTCTATCTATCTGTCTATCTATACATACATATAATTTTTTCCCCTCCCAAAGGACTCATGAGTTACAAATGTCATCTTTCCCTGTAGGAATGTAAACAGTTCAACCTTAATAAGTCTCTTATGATTTCTCTTTCCTGTTTACTTCTTCCATGTTTCACTTGAGTCTTGTATTTGAAAGTCAGATTTTATATTCAGCTGTGGTCTTTTCCTCAGCAATGCTTGAAAGTCCCCAATTTCATTGAATAATCATTTTTTACCCTGAAGGATTATACTCAGTTTTGCTGGGTAGGTGATTCTTGGTTGTAATCCTATCTCCTTTGCCCTCCGGAATATCATACTCCATGCCCTCTGGTCCCTTAATGTAGAAGCTGCTAAATCTTGTGTTAGACTGATTGTGTTTCCACAGTACTTGAATTGTTTCTTTCTGGCTGCCTGCAATATTTTCTCCTTGACCTGGGAATTCTGGAATTTGGCTACAATGTTCCTAGGAGTTTTCCTTTGGGGATCTCTTTCAGGAGGAGATCAGTGGATTCTTTCAATTTCTATTTTGCCCTCTGGTTCTAAAATATCAGGGCAGTTTTCCCTGATAATTTCTTGAAAGATGATATCTAGGCTCTTTTTTTGATCATGGCTTTCAGATAGTCCAATAATTTTTAAGTTCTCTCTCCTGGATCTATTTTCCAGGTCAGTTGTTTTTCCAATGAGATGTTTCACATTCTCTTCTAATTTTTTCATTCCTTTGGATTAGTGTTACAGAGCCTTGATTTCTCATATAGTCACTAGCTTCCAATTGCTCCATTCTAATTTTTAAGGAGGTATTTTCTTCAGTAATCTTTTGGACTTCCTTTTCCATTTGGCCAATTTTGCTTTTTAGGGCATTCTTCTCCTCATTGGATTTTTGGACCTCTTTTGCCATTTTGGTTAGGCTATTTTTTATTTTTTTTATTGTTAGGCAATTGGGGTTAAGTGACTTGCCCAGGGTCACACAGCTAGTAAGTGCCAAGTGTTTGGTCTGAGGCCAGATTTGAACTCAGGTCCTCCTGTCTTCAGGGCCGGTGGGGTTAGGCTATTTTTTAAGGTGTTATTTTCTTCAGTGTTTTTTGGGGTCTCCTTTAGCATCACTCTCAGTTTTTCCTCAACTTCTCTTACTTGCTTCTCAAAATCCTTTTTCTTGGAGCCTTTGGATGTAGGAGCTTTGGCTTTGTTGTCTTCTTCTGGTTGTGTGTTTTGATCTTCTTTGTCACCAAAGTGAGATAATATAGTCTGACTCTTTTTGTGCTGCTTGCTCATGATCCTGGCCAATTACTTGAGTTATGAACTCTTTGTTAGGTAGGGGTCTGTTTCCAGTGTGGAGAATGTACTGTCCCAAGCTTCAGGGGTTTTGTGCAGCTGTTTTCAGAGCTACTTCTAAGGACCTGTAAATTTTCAGTTCTTCCAAGGTGGTATGATCAAGGACTAGGTGTTTACTCCTTTCCTGTCCTGTGCTCTACTTTATGAGTGACCACAAGCACTCTTTTCTGCCTTGGAACTGTGAGGAGGATTCCCTCTCCACTGCTGCCACAAGGTCTGCCACACCAGGGCTCCTCCTCGCCCCAGGACAGCCATCCAGAGCTGTGACCCAGATCCAAGCCCAGTCAAAGCAAGAGAATCCTACACCAGCAGAGAGATCCCTGAAATCCCCCTCTGATCAACTACTTGATTCCCCCTCAACCTGTATGCCAGAAGCTCAGGAGGCAGCCACAGCCCCAGAGCTGAGCTCAGGGCATGGGGCTGGGACCCCAAGCTTCTCTCTCACCGCAGAAACAGACTTTTCCCACTGACCTTTTAAGTTGTCTTTGGCGTTCGTGGGTTGAGAAGTCTGGAAAACGCCACAGCTGCCTGCGATTCAGTCCTCTGAGGCCTGCTCCAGGTTCGCTGCGACATGTGCACCCACTCTGAACTGCACTTCTTTCCCAGCCTGGCACAATAGACCTTTCTGATCAACCATCCAGGCTGTCTTGGGCTGGAAGTTTGTTTTTCTCTGTCTTTTTGTGGGTTCTGCTGCTCTAGAATTTGTTTAGAGCCATTTTTTATAGGTATTTGGAGGGGTTTGGGGGAGAGCTCAAGCAAGTCACTGCTTTTACTCTGCCATCGTGGTTCCACTCCCCCACCCCCCCATATCCTTTATCTTCTGGAATATCATTCCAGGATCTCCAGTCTTTCATAATGGTAGCAATTAAATCATATTTGATTCTGATTGTGGCTCCTGGGAACTTGAATTCTTTTTTGCTGCTGGATGCTTGCAAAATTTTTTCTTTGACCGGGTATTTCTGGATTTTGGCTATAATGTTCCTGCAGATTTTTTATTTGGGGGTTTCTTTCTGGAGGTGACCAATGGATTCTTTTTATTTCTATTTTGTCCTTTGGTTCTAAGAGAGCTGGCAATTTTCTTTTAAGATTCCTCGGAATATAACATCTAGGCTCTTTTCTTTGGTCATGGCATTCATAAAGTCTAGTGGTGATTGTTAATTTTTTTCTTTTTGTTCTGTTTTCCAGATCAGTTGTTTTTGCTATGAGATACCTTACCTTTTCATCTATTTTTTTTCAGTGTTGTGATTAACATTAATATTTCTTGTTGCTCATGGAATCATTAGGTTCTGTTTGGTTTATTCTAAATTTTAGAGAATTTGTGGCTTGGGCAAGCCTTTATACCTCTTTGTCCCATGCTATTAATTCTTTTTCCAATTCTATGTTCCATAGGTCTCATCTCTTTCCCAATATTGTCCTAAAAATCCTCTTATTTATAAAAAACAATGTTAACTTTTTTTTTTTAACTCTTGCTTCATCTCTTCTAGGAATTCTAGTTAACTTGTTACTCAAGCTGTGTTTTTCTCTGACACTTTTATTATTTTGGAGTAATATTTTTTTCTTCTGTGTTTGTATCGTGGGCTTCTTTGCTACCTTAACATCTCTTTATGGTGGGATCCTTTTCTTCCTTCCTTTCTTTCTTTTTTTGCTCATTCTTCCAGCCCACTTCTGGACTTTGGACTTGATATTAAAGCTAGACTTTGCAGCATTTCTTTGAAAAAAAGTCTGGTCTTGACCTTTTGTTGCTTTCATGGGGCTATAGCTGCCCCAAAGAGTAGCTCCACTTTTGCTACTTAATACTTGGGTTAGTGATTGCCTTGCATGGAACCTCTGAGCCAGAGGAAGTGGTGAGATCAAATTGTATTTGTTTTGTAGTCAAGTGAGTTTATCATCTTAAGTCCAGACATGCAGTGTGAAAGAGTAAAGCTCAGTATCAAATCAATCAAGAAATACCTGTTAAATAATTATGACAGTGCTACATACTGGGGAGCACAAAGACAAAAACTAAACATTCCCTGCCTTTAAAGAGAGCTTATATTCTATAGGGAGAAAGCAGTATATATGTGTTTAAATACATACAAGTAAATGCAATGTAAGTTTTTGTTGGAGATGGGTCACCAGCATCTAGGAGTGGGGTACAATAAGATAAGAAAAGGCCTCATATAGAAGGTGTCACTTTAGCTATGCAGTATGTTAAGAGTTAGTCTTATGTTCATGTCTATTTTTTCCCTTAGGGTATCTGTACCATTCCTGAAGATGCTGGACCAGATGCTGGCCAATGGTTGTTTTGACATCTTTACTACTGAGGAAAAGTAAATACTATTTTTTCTTGATATATCTTTCTTGTTTTATTTCTGCCAGAGGGGTTAATGCATTTATATCAGTGAATCTGTTACAGGGATTCTAATCATGGGGTCAAAGAACTTTTAAAAAATATTTTGACCACTATCTTTCATTATAATTGATTTCTTTTAAAATCTCATACAATTTATTATGTATATTAAAAAACATTCTGAAATGCAGTTCAGAAATTTTATCAGACTGCCAAAGACGGTCGGGGGGAACCATGAAACAAAAATAGGTTAAGAATCTTGATCTAGTCAATAGGATTACTGTAGTTAATTTTCTAGTGCAGTCAAGGTTAATTCCTGTATAGGCATTCATATAATCATTGCTTCAGTTAGATTGAAAATATTGATAGAGTGCCAACACTGTATAAGGTATATACATCAATGACGATCACTAGGCGGGGTTGGGGGAGGGGGTTAATACAGAATAGAAATGTAGCATATACTCTCTACCATGGAGTTTTTAGTGTTGGTGAGGTAATCAATTCAATAATTTTATGAGAATTTCAGCAGTATTATTAGAAAGTATATTGAGTGTTAAACTAATTGGTGGATTTGATTAGTGCTATTAATCAGAGAAGGCAAAAGTCAGTACTAGTTGAAGTAACAAGAGAAGGCTTCAAGTAGAAAGTGGCACTCGGTTTTTTTTTTTAGGCAATTGGGGTTAAGTGACTTGCCCAGGGTCACACAGCTAGTAAGTGTCAAGTGTTTGGTCTGAGGGCAGATTTGAACTCAGGTCCTCCTGACTTCAGCGCCGGCGCTCTATCCACTATGCCACCTAGCTGCCCCCAGAAAGTGGCACTTGAATTGGACCTTGGAGGATGAATTTGATGTTGAATGGTCAAGAGAAGGATGAAAGGGATTCCAGGTTGAGGTAACATGAGTTGATCATTGTGCTTTAGAGGAACCATGAAAAGATGAGCCTTTTTGGAGCAAAGAGTTAGTAAGAGTTTGGTCTGAAGAGAATGGAGCCAAAATAGTCACATTGTATAGCACTTTAGAGTTTACAACTTTGATCTCAAAAATATTCTGAATGGTAGCTCTGCAAATCATACTATCTCTGTTGTTCATATTAGGAACTGAGACCCAGAATAGTGAATTTTGGAGTATAATTTCAAATGATTTTCAAAGTGATTAGACCATTTCACAGGTCTGTCAACAGTATATAAATGTGCCTGTCTTCTAAAACCCCGCGAGCAATTGTCATTTTCCTTTTCTATCTTTACCAGTATTATAGATATTATATAGAACCTCAAAGTTTTAATTTGTGTTTTTCTTATAAATTATTTTCAAGTGATTGTTGTTAGCTTGTATTTCTTCTTCAGAAAACTACCTCCTGATATTCTCAAAACACAACCTGATGAACTAGGCTAATCCCTAATATCTAACATGCTCACTCAGTACTCTTTACCTCTTTAGTCCCACTCTTTGGCAGAGCTACACAATGGGACCCACAGGCTTGTGATCTGAGATTGACTCAGCAATTTACTTGCTGCTGCTATAATATCTACCTGCTAACCCCATGCTCCACCCCTTCTCCCTACTATTACATTCTGAGGCAACAAACAATATAATGCAAATCTGCCACCTGAAACCCCACCATGCAAATTTAGTTGAGTTACAAGAAAGTGAAAGTTTGCTGTGCCTGGAGCAGTGCTTCTGTATCAGAAATACCTGTGATTTAGCAGTACTCATGCAGAGATTTAGGGAAAAGAGGGAACCCTGAAGCAAGGTACTAGCACGTGTGAAGGGCTCCGATAGAACTAAAGGAATGGAAGATGGCTTCTAGCTGAGGCCAGTTTTTATCCCCCTGGAAGCCACTTGGAACAAAGACTGCATCTAGTGAAAAGTGAATTCCCTAGTATGGAAGGAGGCTGATACACCTTTTGGTCCTAGCTTTGACCTGTCATCAAAGGGGAAGGAATCAGAAAGTGAATAATAGAGGAAAATGAAGAAAAAAGTCTGGAATTACCAAAGATTGAGCTTGGAGCTAAGACGGAAGAATAAAGGGTGCATTCTAGCCAAACTCTCCTAGTACTTCCCCCAAAACAATTTTAAAATGATACATCAAATTGACTTCTGGTGCAGCATAGTCAACAAAAGATACAGATGAGACATTATTCCAGGCCAGGACAACATAGGATGTTGGAAGGAAACATCTGTGGCACTGAGGTAATTCATTACTGTCAGCACAGGATGGCATCAACACCAGTGGAGGGCCATAGAGGTGGCTGCTGCACTAGCCACAGGAATCTTAGGAGCTCTCAGAACACAGAAAAGCTAAGCAGATTGGACATATGGTCAGAAAGATATTATGGGGGATCCCTGTGGGGGCATTGCACAAAAGACCAGGCAACATTTGGCAACTCAAATGCTCATTACTAAATTCTGCGTCACAGTTACAAGATGGAGAGGAATACTTTCATTTGCAAGGGAGTAAGAGCAGTGGTTTCAGTTCCAGGGCATAGAGAGAACAGGGGCCCTTTTTCCCTGGTTGTAGTTCCAGGGAAGAAAGGAGCACTAGCACTTCCAGTCCAAAGGGAGAAGGGTCCTTTCCTGGGTAAGGACCAGAATGCAGACAGAGAGATTAGTGCCCATATCTCTCCCTAGATCACACCACTTTGGAAGCACCAAAAGCTTAGAGACTAACAGAACTAGCTGTGAAGAGAACAGGGAGAAAATTTCTGAAACTCAGTACAGTGATTCTGTACTACCACTGCCTACCCAGAGATAAGCAGAACTCAACTCTAATATAAAGTCCAAAATTAAGAAATAGGCTGGAAAAAAATGAATAAACAACACACACACACACACATACACACAAATGCACACACACCTGACCATAAAATCTACTATGGTAATAGGAAAACTCAGGATACAAACTCAGAAGAAGAAGATGACATGAAAACATTTACAAACAGAAGCCTCAAAGAAAAATGCTAATTGGACAAAAGCCCAACAAAAATTTCTAGAAGAGATAAAGGGAGATTTTTTTTAAAGGTCAAAGAGAAATCATTTTAAAGATCAAATAAGAGTGGCAGAGGAAAAATTGAGAAAAGAAATGAGAGTAATGCAAAAAAAAATGAAGAGAATGAACAACTTTTTAAAAAGAAACAAATACGGAAGAAAGTAATTCCTTAAAAAAAAAAAAAAAAGAATTGACCACGTGTTAAAAGAGGTACAAAATCTCACTAAAGAAAAGAACTCCTTAAAAGCAGGACTGACCAAATAGAAAAAGAGGTATAAAACTTCGCTGAAGAAAATAATTCCTTAAAAACTAGAATTTGATAAGAGGAAACTCCTTGAGACAACAGCAAACAATAAAACAAAGTTTTATTGAAATATTCTTCTATTAAAGCATAAAAGAGAATGTGAAATATCTCATCAGAAAAAATAACTGACCTGGAAAATAGACTAAGAAGAGATAATTAAAGAATTATTGGACCAGCTGAAAGCCTTGATCGAAAACGGCCTAGACATTATATTTCAAGAAATTATAAAGGAAAACTGTGCCAGTACCTTAGAACCAGAGGGTGAAATAGAAATCGAAAGAATTCATCAATCACTTCCTTAAAGATATACCAAAATGAAACCTTCCAGGAATATTATAGCCAAATTTCAGAGCTCTCACGTCAAGGAGAAAATGTTGCAAGCAGCCAAAAAAAAACCCAAAAAACAGTTCTAGTACAGCGGAGCCGCAGTCAGGATGACACAATAAAAGAGCAGAGGGCTTGGAATTTGATATTTCAGAAGGCAAAGGAGCTAGGATTACAACCACAAATAACCTACCCAGCAAAACTGAATGTAATTGTTCAGGGGAAAAATTGATATTTAATGAAATAGAGGACTTTCAAGTATTGTTGATGAAAAGATTAGAGCTGAATAGATAATTTGACATTCAAACACAAAGAGTGAGGGGAAGAATAAAAAGGTAAACAGGAAAGAGAAATCTTAAGAGATTTAATACTATTAAATTGTTTACATTCCTATATGGAAAGATGATGTAAGTAACTCCTAAGAACTTATTAGGGAAGTTAGAAGATGTCTACAGAAGCAGAGGGCATTGGTGTGAGTCCATCATGTTGCGATGACTTATTTTAAAAAAATGAAAGGGTGAGAAAGTGGGATACCCTGAGAGAAGCAGTAAGGAAAAGGAAGAATGAGGAAAATTATCCTATATAAAAGAAGCAAGGAGGCATTTTTACAATGGAAGGGAAAATGGGGTAGGGGGAATGGCTAATGCTTAAACCTCGCTCTCATCTGAACTGATTCAGAAAGGAAAGAATATATACCCACTCAGTTCAGTACAGAAATCTATCTTACCTAACAGGGAAGTAGGAAAGGAAGCAGATAAGGGAAAAGGGAGAGCAGTAAGAGGGAGATTAAGGGAGCCAACAGTCAGAAGCAAAATTGATTTCTGAGGAAATACAGGGTTTAAAAAAAAGAGAAGTATAAATAGAAGAGAATAAGATATAAGAATAAGAGAAACTACCTTTTGCTAAAAGGTATATCCAATGAAGTGATTCTATAGTTAATGAAGTAGTATCAATACTAAATATATATTCACCAAATGGTATAGCATCCAAATTCTTTTTTTTATTAATTTATTTTTAGTTTTCAACATTAACTTCCATAAGCTTTTAAGTTTTAAATTTTCTCCCCCTCCCTCCTTACCTTCCTCCTCAACACAGCATGCAATCTGATATAGGCTGTACATATACATTGCTATTAAATGTATTTTCATATTAGTCATGTTATAAAGAAGAATTGGAACCAATCGGAACAGCCACAAGAAAGAAGAAACAAAACAAAACAGAAGAAAAAAAAAAGAGCAAATAGTATGCTTTGATCTGCATTCAGACTCCATAGTTCTTTCCCTGGATGCATTTTCTATCATGAAACTTTTGGAGATGTCTTGGATCCTTGCATTGCTGAGAAGAGCTAAGTCTATCAAAGTTAATCAT